TGTTGTTCAATAGCTCAAATTAAAATCTATTTCAAGCGTTCGGCGAAAAATCTCGGACGCCTGCCAAAACAAGCCCTCATGGAGAGGACGTCAACTCAAAAGGAAATAGGGACGAGCCGCTAAGCCTATAAAAAGTTGAAAACTATAAACATAAAGGGTTGTACAAACAATCGAACAATAAAAATTCTGAGCAAATCCCTTTTTCGCTTCTCTACAAATGAGAGTCTGTTTATGAGGTGATAAAAAACAAAAATATCGATGATTTAAGATTTTTTTTTTTGATTTTTTTCAGGCGTCGAATTGAGAAATGGCGCAATTTTTTAGTGTAAAACACAGACGCCAGCAGGGTATTGAAAATCTACATGATGCTAGAAGACCTGTAATCCCATAGTTTTAGAAATCCTTCAAACTCGGCATGACAAATTAAAGCCCTGAGGGTATCAAAAACCATTTGAAGAAACCAAAATCCCACAGTAGATTCAAAGAATTACAATATATTATAGATTAAAATACTCAAAGTCTAACGCTCAGAGTTTGATGAAAATTGGCAAGAATATAATTATAAAGCGATTTTTTAAGACATCAGCGAAATTTTTAGCTCACGCTTTGCAGAAGCAACCGAGAGAATTTTAAGTCAGAATTTTGGAAAAGATGTGGCACTTTTTTTGTAAATTTTTCATGAAAAATTTCACAGTTGTTTCTACCATGGATAGCAAGGACCCTGCAAAAAAATCGTCTTTTTCCTTGCGGAGCTCATAAAGATATGGCTTTCACTTTTCGCGTACTCTCTCGGCCGCAAACATTTTTGAATATCTCAGCTGTGCCTTAAAAGCTCGAGCTATTTTAAAATTTTCAGGAATTGATATGGGGCCTATGCTCAATACGTGTGCAAAATCTAGGGGAAACATCAGTGTCGTACTTGGCGATTTCAAATCATGTTCTCCTGACTTGATCTTTGTCCCTAAAAGCTGCTAACTAGCCACTTTTCCCTTTTTCCAATTACCCTCCAACTACTCTAGATCCTATTATCTACGCCATCGGCAATAATTTTCCAAATTCAAACCAACTTCAATCTAATTCTATTCTATCCGCGGCACGTTAAAGACTCCTCTTGTAAGCATGTTTGCAACCAAGAGGAAAATTTCTCTCGAGGTATTAAAGAGTTTTTTTTTTCTTGGCCGAATAAAAACACATACCCGAACTATCTTCTAAATGGATTTTGGCCTTTCTCGGCGAAAGGAGGAGGGGATCCTCGAATAAATCTTTTTGCGTTTCAAGCAAATTTTCATGGGTTTCGGCGGCCCCCCAAAAGTTCCGCAGCCACATGGGTTTGGTGAGTGGAACGGAAAGGGCGAAGATCCTGGGCAGAGAGCCGGAGGAAATGATGCCAATCGACCGCTTCCGGCGATAAATTTTGATAAATGTGGCGGGAAACTTGAGAATTAACGGGGAATGAGAGAGGTTCAGATTTCTTCATAATAATTGATGTCTGACCATCAGTCAGTCGGGAAAATAATGAGCACAATATCGCAGTGAAAATAGCATCGGCGCCGAGAACATGGAATGTGTCGCAGAAAGAGCGTTTTTTTCATTTCAGCGATACGATTGGCGCAGCGACATAGTGGTCATTATTTTCCCGACAGACTGACAAAAATTTGTAATTTTTTTGCTGCCGTATACGGAAATATCGTTAATATTAATTGTGATAAACGTTAATGTCATGAGTCAAACGAATTCGATAAAATCCGGAATTTTTTTATGACGTCATTTTCAAAAGGTATGTGACAGCTCGGTTTTTCAAAAATCACAGGTTTTTTTGATGAAAAGTTGTCGAAAAATCGACAATTTTTTTGCGATTATCGGTATAAAAAACTAAATATTTATAACCTAGTACGGGGAACTTTTGTCTTGCCGACTCTTCTCATTTCATGCGCTCTCTTGCAATGCAGGCCGATGACTATCTCTTATGCCGCTGGAAAACGTACAGTCATGCTATAAAACCTTAGAGGCTGATTTACAACTAGTCCCTAGTCCGTATCAAAAATTTCAGGCGATCTAGACAATATGTTACTTTAACATACTTAAAAGACATTTCCGAATACACCCAGTCAAAACGGAAAATTCAACACTCTTCGTTCGTAAAAAACCACACTGGATTTTTGGCCTTTTTCCACTGTGTGATCAGGCTGTAAACTTATTTTTTTAGCCCTCAAAATTAGCCTATAAATTTATTTCCAACTCTACCATATCCCGGATTTTTAATGCGAGCTTTACAACATACGTCAAAAGCAATCCGCTTTTCAATGAATGTTTCACCAGGAAACGGTTTAAATCTTCTTATCATCACACCCCCTTGTACGAAGATCATAGGGGCGGTGCAAGAGGACCAATCTATTATCCGATTCATAGACAAATCTAAATCCCCTTCCCACATTCGAATTCAGATTTCGAGGCTCAAACATAGGTCAGTCCCCAATTTAGGGATAATAATGGGAAAATAGACGTGCAGTTTGGGAAAATAACAAAGAGAGTAATTAAGAATGTGCAATAAAAAGTGCAAAATTTGAGAATTTCAATTTTCGCAGCGTCGTATTAGATGATGATTTAGAAAAGTCTCAAAAAACCTTATTAAAGCCTGAATTTCATTGAAAACTCAGTGAAATCTTCTTGCACAGCGCAGAGTTCGTATCCACGAACGTAAAGCAAGAAGTTACATGGCTGCAGTTCTATAAGAAAAAACAAGAAAATCAAATTTCGGGGGATGCGGCCATCCGTGCCCATCAAGGGAAAGAACAACGAAATTATCCTTTGATATATACGTTCTGACATGATGTGAAGTAACACGTACTTTAGTTCCTGGATGAAAATAGATTTTTTGGGGAGAAAAAGACGAAAATTTTGATTTCTCAAATATTTGAATAATTGAAATTTTATGCAAATTTACGCAAATTTTCGTTAAATTCTGAGATTGAAAAGTCAAAAAACACCTAGTTACACTTCACACTTGACAAAAATTTTAATTTTTTGATAAATAAAAATTTTCGAAAATTTGCATAATTTATGCAAATTTATGCAAATTTTCGTTGAGTATTTAGATTAAAAAATCAGAAAAAACGTAGTTTGACTTCGCACTTGACAAAAATCTTAATTTTTTTATAAATAAAAATTTTCGAAAATTTGCATAATTTATGCAAATTTATGCAAATTTTCGTTGAGTATTTAGATTAAAAAATCAGAAAAAACGTAGTTTGACTTCGCACTTGACAAAAATCTTAATTTTTTTATAAATAAAAATTTTCGAAAATTTGCATAATTTATGCAAATTTATGCAAATTTTCGTTGAGTATTTAAATTAAAAAATCAAAAAAAACGTAGTTAGACTTCACACTTGACAAAAATCTTAATTCTTCGAATAATGTTTAAAATTTCAAAAATTTGCATAATTTATGCAAATTTCTTCCACCTCACAAATTATTGCGCAAAAATGCAAAAAGTCATGAGATGATGTGAAAAGTTGACAAAAGCAGTCACACTCCCCGCACTCCCATTCATTATGCCCATATCGGATATCCAGCAACCTTTCGACAAAGTCGGCCCTCATAATAAAGTTGAATATACTCTTTACGTGCGACTTTTTATCTCGCTCTCTTAATTCACGCCGAGGACCTCGCACTCCCCCCTCCTCTCCTCGATTTAATTTCCGTTTCTTTCGGCGCGTGCGAATCCCTTACCTACTATTTATTTTTAGGGCCTTCGGGAAAGAAAGTTTTTCGCCGATAAATGGCCAAATTGCGATGAGTTCTCGGGAAAAAAGGAGGATAATATAAGTGACGAGGGGTGATAAAATGCATCAACATAGGCAGTAGAGTCAGCACAGTGCATTCAAAAATTTGAGAATTTTCTTTTTAAAAAATTTTGAAAATATCGACCAGTCGTAAATTTTATTTTTAATTTTTTCAATACTTTTAGAAAATTTTTGATGACCTCAGAACTAAAAAAAAAAATATTTTTTTATTAGTAAAATTGATTTTTATGTAATTTAAAAAAATGTAAAAATATTTAAAAAAATAAAAAAAAAATATTTTTTTTTATTTCGCTGGCAAATTTTACTCTTTTTTCACTGCAAAAATCATGTAAAAAACAAAAAAAAAATCACTTTTTAACAGTCGTAAATTTTTGATTTTTTATGGAAGCATTTTCATAAAATTGTTTTTGATGTCAAAACTCCGTAAAAATACAAAAAAAATACATAAAAAAAATACATAATATTTCGACTCACACATTTCCTGCGACACCAATTGATCGCCCACGGTGCCACTGATCAAGGGGACGCTGCTGAGAACGGCAGTGGGAACGGACGATTTTCTGGTGACGGAGCCCAAGGAGCCTGCAAATTTTCATAATTAATATCAAAATTTTTGGAGAAGAAAAAATCAAATTTTAGAAAAAAAATATCCAATGCCTCTGGAAAGCCCTTTATGAACTAAAAATTATGACCAAATTGAAAAACAAAATTAAAAATATGCGAAAGTGGGAAAAATGCAGAGAAAACTTAATAAAGTAGCTGCAAAGAGAACATATATTACAAACATGTCAAGGCGATATTAAATTTCATCAGAAAATACAAGGCCCATAACTGGAAGGCCAGACAGTTTTTGAGCAGAAGAATTTTCGGAAACACAAGATTAACTTGCCAAAGATATCATGAAAATAAGACAAAACTTGAAAGCAACTGGACTGCCAGACAGGACAACCATCACAGCCTATTTTAAGGCAAGAAAAACCTTCCGGAATGGCCATAAATAATATCAAAATCACTCAAATCCCATCACCTTCACGCTAAACCCCCCAAAAAACACATATATAAAAAAAATAAAACCAAAGCCGCCACCACGAAACTATAAACCTCTAATTGTCATGAATAATGTATGAAGCCCATCACACAATCGATCACCCCAAAAAAAACACCCCCAATCTCTTCTCCTACTCATCAAAGACGAATGGGCCAACTTCAGGAAGCTCAACTTTTTGGCTTTTTTGCGATGCGCGCCGCCGGTCTTGCGGCGCGTGAAGCCGATGCTGGAGTTGGGTCGGCTCTCTTCCACGTTTTGCATCGGTACCCAACGCTCCGACTCCGTGGATTGTTGCGAGCTTCTGGAGTTGTTGGAGGCATTGGATTCGGGACGATAATGACGGAGACTTTCGTCGTAGGACCAGGTGGAATGAGAGCGAAGAAGAACGGCGCGGCGGATGGAATCCGGACGGTGATGGAAGAACATAGCTTAGAGTTTGAGAAAAGAATGCTTCAGAAGCTTGTTAGCGAAGTTTCAGAAGGTTTTGTTAACGTGTCAACGCTTCCCAAGGCCTCAAATAAAGCCCTGTTTTTTCTCAAGGCGTCAAGTAGCAAATCCCGTTTAATTGAAGCCAACAAAAGCCGACAGTCCCAGTAACGTTCGCAGATGTCGCTCTGGCTCCAACACCTCCTTTTTTGATCAATAAAACGCTAGCCGAAAGTCAGCTCAGCGGTAGAAATCGACAGGTTTCCAAAAGTATCTTAATAGTGCAATTTCCTTGTGGGCCGAAAAACTTCCTTCAAACTCGTATCAATAGCCGAAAATTGGCCAAAAATCTCTTCTGTACCAATTCCAATAAACCACCAAAAACTGGGCACACCGACTTAACACCACTGTTTCAACACGGCACACATTTACAAAAAGTTACAAATCTGGTTAAGGCGTCTGAAATTATAAGATTGCAAATCAATTACTGAGGACGCTCGTAAATCTCGCTGTATTGTAGGGAGCAGTCTAAACCGGAAGTCGGGGAAAAGTTGCAAGTTTCAGGGATTAATTGGAACAGAAAGATTATCTTATATAGCCTACATTAGTTGACCTTTGGGTTCTATTTAATGATAAATCTTTTAAAGACATAATTTCAAAGTTATAATAGACGTATAAACCTCTTAAAAGTGAGCATCAGGGCTTTATGGCCCTTCTATTACCCATCCAATTATATTTTATGATCTATGGAGCGGCCAGACGGAGTCCATTTATTTGAAGAGCGTTCGGTTCAAGTCTCTGTGGACAACTTTGAACTTTGAAATGTCATTAAAAATTTTGGCTGCGCAAGACGCTTTCAATGTATCGGTTAGCAGTGGGTCGGGTAAATAGCGTGGATCTGGCGCGGCCTAGAAGATCCCGTCATCGGTTTGCGATGACTAGTTGCAGCTTTAGATTTGGTGCGCGATTGCGAAAAGGCGAGGCAATCTGCTGCGACAAATCCACATTATTTTCCCGACAGGCTGATACGTTAGCCAGTTAGGGGTAATGTATAGGGAGATAACTTACTGACAAAGAAAATTAAAGAATGAAAAGTTACAAAGATGGTAATTCCGGCAAAACATTCAGATCAGATGCCAATGCTTACATAATGACCCATCGCGGCAAAACAAAAATCCTACAAGATCGCAACGTACGCTATGAAGTTGCAGCTGAGATATATGAATGCTAAATTTGTAACACAGAAATCAAAGAAAACCTCTTCAAAACAACGGCAGAACACTAGCTCTCTCTTGTATAATATAAAGCCCTATGTATATATATGTGTATTACACTGAGTAACCAATAAAACAAAGGCAAACTCCTCTGCAACCAAAGAACCGTCACCTTATCCGACGGCAACCTTTCTGAATCCCTAAACCCTCCCAATATATGATCCTTAAGTCTTATCCCTTGAAACCCCACATTTCTCATACGCAATGCCCTAATCTCCACCTCACTAATGTCATCCTAATATGATTATCATAAAAAAAGAGACCTGTACTTGGCGGATTATCGCAATACGTGGTTTGGATGTGCAGGACTTGGTATTATTAGGCCATTCAATTAATTAAGCGAGACGCTGATTAAGGCCTTGCGTAAAAACGGTACGTAAGAACCGAGATTGCAATTTCCAGGATTAAATCGAGTTCATTACGAGGGATTAATGGAGAGTAATACACTGTTAGGCCAATGGAAAATACTCGGAGGATTCAGCAAAGTGTTTCTGGTCTTTGGAGCATACCTGAGGCAGGGAAATTTCAAACTATTGACGACAAGCGTGCCATGTAAATACTATGTTGCTGTTACATATTATCTAAAAACAACGAAATGCCAACCAAAAAATTAGCAACTGGTTGCGTCTACATAAAATGTAAACCCGTCTGAATCTAACATACAAATTTTTCAGCAAAAACAGGTGACCATTACAGCCGAATAACCCCATATTCAAGAGACAAAAAGTATGCGCAAAATGTTGGGAGAAACTGACCAAAAATTAATTCGCTGAATTCATTTTGTGCGTTGAACTGCTAGAAATATTGTCAACTCACAGCTGGCACAAAAGCCTACAAAAAATCTTACAAATTGAATGGTTACCTAAGCCCTGCGGCCAAAATGCAAAATTTGAAAAATCTTTTAGGTTTTACGTGGCTTACAAACAATAAGGATTATGCGAAAATGAACATCCGTACTACAAGAGCTCTCCGAAACTAACGTTTGCAGAGGTCACAATATTCAATCTTCGACCAAAATGAACCTCCGTATAACAAAGCCTTTCTATAACAAATAAATTTTGTGACTCGCAGTTCCTTATTTTGGGTTTTCGGTATCTAAAAAATCCTCGAAATCAGAAGTCTTCAACAGCATGTAAGTAACACTTCAATCTCGCTAGCAACCATAGTAATGAGTAACCCATCAACGTCAATCTTGCTCATCCCTCCCAATCTCCCTCTTCCTCACATCAAACTTCTCGGAATCAAACCCCTCTTCTGGCCCGGAGATAATCCCACTCCCGCACTCTCCAAAAAAGTTCTGCAGCCCATCACGCGCAGATTACATTCGAGACAAAGACAGGATTGTAAATATTTTCAGGGTGACATCAGACGGAAACTCTGTTGTTGTGATAAGCAAGATTAGACGGGCTTTGGCTGTGGAGGAGGAGGAATGCAGTATGAAGGGGGTAATAATGGGAACCTTGCCGGGGATCAGACTTTATTTAAAGCCTTTTCAGAAGGATAGAAGTATTGTAATACGGTTAAACCGAATAGTAAAAAAAGGTGAAATCATTAAGAAGGTGATACAGTGGAATCTCGGCAAAATAAATTACACGGCTCCAAAAAAATTTTCCTCAAATGCCATCTTCCTGGGACGAAGTTAGTCATCTGTGAAGCTTCATAAAAACCGTTGTGATAAGCATGACCACACAAAACATACACCGATAGATGGCGTTTTCAACGTTCTTTCAGGCGATATTAACAGAAGCTCCAAAACATTAATTCTGCCTGTAAAAAATGCACAACAAAAAAAACGGCAGGGTCATACTTCTAGGCTGGTTCACATACCAATTCCTGGAAAAAGCCTCTCATTGTCAAAACCCACGATTTTAATTGTTTCTAACAATAAGGTGTACACAAAGTTAGCAAGTCAGATAGTAAAAACATATTTCCCCATTACCTTTTTGAAATTCAGGCTAAAGAAACTGAACTTGCAGGCTTTCTTTCACCAAATTCTAATCAAATTTTTAGCCTTTCTGACCCTCTAAAATCTCCATACTCTAAAAAAAGATTTGTCCAGCCCTTTCAGACTTCATACAACTTGATATGAGGCCACAACTTCCTCCTACTCTCCAAAAAAGCCAACTTGTTTATCACCACCTCGACACATATATAATATTTAAGGAGCGAAGACGGGCCTTCCGGCTATTCCTTGCGCATCGCTCTCTATCGAACAAAGGCGCGAAGAACCCCGGCCAAACTAAACGAATCTGATGATGGCGGGAAATAAGATTGCTACGGCGGAAAGAAGACGTTATATCCGCCGAGAAGAAAGGATGTCAGCTTTGAGATGTCAACTTGCCTAAGGAGACGAGTGGGAGGAACGGGAGTTCACAAAAATAGTTTGGAGTAAACCCAAAAGTTTTTGAATCTTTTTCAATCTTTGGCAGTCATAAAACTGCTTCCTACAAGAGGAATTGTCAGAGCTTTATAAAGGCCGGTAAAACTGCGGTTTGGCTTTTGCATAGTGAAAAGGAAAAATAATTTTCTAGGTAGTTTCTTCTTACCAGTGCCCTGCTTCCTGAATCATTTAGACCTTTTGTGCACATACTATCGATTAACCAACAGATTTGAGATAACGAAATTCGTTTGTGAGAATTTTTGGAAGACAAAATTCATAATAAAAAAACAAGAAAAATTTACGACCTTCCTTTCTGTGGAGAAAGCAAGGTTTTTTCCCGGCTAGCCAGGAAAAACCGGCCAAAGATTCTTCCCAAAACTCGGTTTTTGACGCCGCATTGATTAGCCAGGAAAACAGCTTAGCCAGGAAACAGCTTCAACTATGCTGGATAGACATGTTTCTAGCTTACAGCCTCATTTTTCCAAGTATGAATTAACAAGAAAATAAAGATTTTCCTTGGATTAATTGTTTAAAAAATCATTTGCGTGGGCTCATGGTGGCCTTAAGTTTTGTGCACAAAATTTACAATAGGATCTTACTAATACCCGGATCTTGCCGATAATCCTACAATACCGTTGCTAGAGCAAAGAAAGGTCCATGAAAAAAATGCCAATAGGGAGGGGGACCACGGTAAATTTATTATTTTTCAATGTTTTGGTTTTTATTTTTTCCCAGGTGGCTTTCTTACTGTGGTAAAAAAACCACCCCCTCCTACAACAGTTCCACCAGCTGCCCTCTTATAATCCTAGTCATCAAAACAAGGACAAGATCAAGACGACTTTACAACCAGCACTCTGCTTGCACTTTTCATTAAAATCTAATCTTTACACCAATTCCCTCAGCCCAAAGCAAATGATCCTCTTTCCACTATATATAAATTTTAGCCGTCTAGTAAACATTAACGCCGGAGGAAATTTACTTTTTTTTCGCATTGGTCTTTTGACTACAAAAACGGCAAAGAAACGGAACATCAGCGTTTCTAATTGTTCCTGTGCAGCAACGCGGAATGCCCCTCGCAAACTTGGCGGGTTGTCGAAGAAAGGGAGCGAGGGTGTGAGAAGTCACGCTGCAGAATATTAGAGTGGGTAATAGCCTTAGGGTGAGCAGAAAAGTAAAAAAGTTGAAAAAATAACATATAAAAGAACTCTTCTAATCAGGGAAGATTTCCACGTGCGACGCTCAGATTTTGTTGAGGTTTGGCACACTCGACCGGTATAGGGCACATATCAATTCCTGAGCGTTTTAGCTTGCGCTTTGCAGGGACGGCTGAGATATTCAACGATCTTTGTGACCGAGAGGGTATGCGAAACGGGGAGAGCATTTCGCTCATAAAGAAAAAAATTTTTTGACTGTATCCTTGCCAGTTTCATTTTGAAAAAAATGTTTTTTTGTGGAAAAATTACCCTCTACGGTAGAAATAGGCATGACACTTTTCATACCAAAATTCACAAAAAAGT